CTCCAGGATGAAGAAGAGGAGCCATTGCTGAGCACCCTTTGGCTTCAGCCAGCCAGCCAACTACAGATTCAGCTAACAGTTGTGTCTTCCAGCCCACATTTTATGAGCTTTTTTGCAAGGCTATTACAGGCAACCTTGTTGAAGGCCTTACTTAAATCAAGATACACTACATCCACACCATTCCCTCTATCTACCAAACTTGTTTATTGTGGAAATTGTGCTGGGGGTGAAAGGGAATTAACCCTCTCTTGCATCCCCAGCACAGTGAGAGTGTGGCTCTGGCTTGGCTACTGCTGTCCATTGCATTTCAAAAGAGTCTGGTCCCAATGGGACTCTCCCATCTCCTGGTCCTATGATGATAGCGTTGTTGTTGTTTCCTGAGAGTCAGTGTGAAGTTTGGCCTTTATGGTGCCCATTGTCTGGCATCTGCCTTCATGTGGCACAAGGGGCAGATATTCTTCCTACAACTAAGAATGTTCCTTCTTCTCCCCTTCCTGGGTGCCATTTTCTGCTTGCTTGCCAGGGTCAAGCCTGGCAATCCCTGGTGCTGGTTTTGGAAAATGTTATTGCCTACCTGTGGGGCTTGGGGACACCAACCCCACAACCCTGCCCTCTTCCTGCCTTGGCCAGCTGTTCTGACCCCTTCCTCTGCTTCTGGGCTGCTCTGTGGGTCAGGATCCATTCGCTTCCCACCCACCCCCAGTTAAAGCTTTGCCTGCAGCCTGCGAGGGGCCAGGTGCAGATTCTGCAGGAAAGTGTCCAGGGCCTGGGTGTAGTCCTGCGGATGGAGACGCAGGTGTGCGGCATGGTGGGAGACCTGCCACTCTTGCACCTGGACAGAGATGCCGCCCGCCCGCCAGGCGTCCAGGAGCTGCTGCATGACCTGGGCGTCACTCAGTGGGTCATTGTGGCAGAAGAAGACCAGGACCGGGCAGCGAAGGGGCGGGTGGTGGAAGATGTCCAGGGCGGCCTCGTAATAGGCAACGGTGCAGCGGCGGAAGAGGCGGAAGTAGAGGAGCGTCCCTCGATGGATGAGCGGCCGTAGGACTGCCGAGCTGGTCATCCTGGCCACACCTGGAAGAGAGGAGAGGAGAGGAGAGGGAGAGGGAGTTCAGGTAACAATGCCAAGCAACACATGCCAAGGCCTCCAGGTGTGGAAATGCCCGGCTTGATCACAGCGCAGGTGGGCAGAGTCTCCCGCTGCCTGCTCTTACAAGCCAGGCTGCAATGAATTAGCAACAAATGCAGGAAGGAAAGAAAGATCTTTATAGCAAAAGGGAAAAAAGAGAAGAACCAAGCACTACGGGGCTAAAAAAAGCAACCTGTCTCGAATAAACTCCAGATAGAAGAAACCAGTGTGGCGTAGTGGTTTGAGTGCTGGACCATGACTCTGGAGATCAGGGTTCAATTCCTGGCTTGGCCATGAAACCCACTGGGTGACTTTGAGCAAGTCACACACTCTCAGCCCCAGAGGATGGCCATGGCAAACCTCCTCTGATCAAATCTGGCAAAGAAAACCTCAGGATAGGTTCGCCTTAGAGTTGCCATAAGTTGGAAATGACTTGAAGGTAGACCAACAACAACAACAACAACAACAAAGTCCAATGGGGCAGAGTGGACAGAGCCTAAAAAAAAAGGGGGGGGAGAACCATTTTTTTTAAAGGATAAAATTTAGCTCTTCTCAAGTTAAAAGAGAAGTTAGATGTTCAAATTCCAACCCATTCTCACTTAGGTGCAAGAGGCGGCTGCATTAATAGTTGCTTGGCACGCAGCAAGTGAACAATCGCAACTCAAGCTCAGTAGACAACCTGTTTGTGGAGTTGCGGGTTTTGGCATGCCTCTTTGTGGGCTCAGGAGTAAACTGTTTTCAAGGAAGAAGATGATCCTGAAACCGGCAGATGTAAAAGGATCTGTGTCTCCAAAGGGTGCTAACTTTTAAGCCCAGCGTGGGACTGACTGCAAAGCCCAGTTTCCACTTGAGATGCAGGACTGTGGATGGGACTGGTGAATGGCCGGGTTGTGGAAAAGATGAAGTGTAAAATGAATGAATCAATCAATGCAGAATTTTGAAAGTGTGGGGACTTCATTTTGGACTTTCACTCACACCCACCTTCCCTAACCTTGAAAAATGGGTCTCTGAGCAAGTCCTCTGAGCAACTCTCCCTAGAAGCAAAAATGACTGCACTGAGGCTGTTGTACATCGGATGCCTCGTGAGAAGCCATGACAAAAAAAGACAATAATACTGGTAAAGTCAGAGGCACTAGGAACAGAGGAAGACTGCATTACAGGAGGATGAACGCCATCAAGGAAGCCACAACCGCTGCCCTTTTTTTGCAAGAACTGAGCAGGGCTGATAAGAACAGGATCTCCTACAGGCCTCTCACTTGTTGTTATTGTTGTTTGCCACAACATTGGCTTTGATGTGTGGCACTCCTCTGAGCGAGAGACCTCCAAGATCCCCAGCTTTCCACTCCTCTTCTCAGGTCTTGCAAAGACAGGGCAGCATCCATGGCTTCCTTGAGCAAAGTGGTCTCCCTGTTTTCCTGCTGCCTCCCACTTTGCCAAGCATTATCTTCTTTTTCAGGGAGTCGTGTCTTCTCATGGTATGTCCAGAGTAAATGGTTGTGGTTTGCTCTCCAGCCAGCTTTCACTCATGTTGCCCTTCTGAATGAAAGACCTCCAGGAGATGCTGTTTTTCTCAGCATCCCAGCTCAGGTCTTGCAAACTCAGGGCAGCAGCCATGGCTTCCTTGACAGAGTCCATCCAAATGTCTTGTGGTCTCACCTTCCTCTTTTCCCACTGTCCAAAGTGGAAACTTTGCCAAGTATTGTCTGCTCTTCCAGGAAGTCATGGCTGGTCACGATATGTCCAAAGTAAATGGTTGTCATTTGCTCCCCAGCCAGCTTTTGCTCATGGTGCCCCTCTGAATGAGAGACCTCCAAGATCATCAACAGCCCTGCTCAGGTCTTGCAAAGTCAAGGCAGCAGCTGTGGCTTTGTTGAAGGAGTCCCCCTCCCACCCACTTGTAATGGAGTCTCCCTCTTTTCCTTCTGCCTCCTCCTCTGTTGAGCATGATCATCTTTTTTCCAATGAGGTCCAATGTGGTCTTGTGTATCTTCAAGGACGATGCCTCCGTTGAGTCATTTTGGCTTCCAGGGATGGATGCCCTAAAGCTGAATGGAGGGCAAATAACAACCATCTATTGACTGGGGAGCTGCCCTGTGACGATCGATTGGGGTGGGGAAAATGTGGCCCTGAATTCCACACTTGGCCCCTTGTTGCTGTTGTTGTTGTGTGCCTGCAAGTCATTTCGGACTCATGGCGACCCTAAAGAGAACCTATCATGGGGTTTTCTTGGCAAGATTTGTCCAGAGGGGTTGTAATTGCCTTCTCTTAGGCTGAGAGAGAGTGACTTACCCAAGGTGACCCAATGGGTTTCCGTGGCTGAGCTGTGAATCAAACCCTGGTCTCTTGGTCACATTTGGCCCCTGGAAGCTTCTTAAGCAACAGCAAAAACCACAGTTTTTATTTTCCCCACTGCTTCCGTGGGGATTTCCTTGCCAGGCAAGAGAGACCAAACTATGCATCCCATCCCCATGTGTTTTTTGCTTGGGCCCTGTGTGTGCCACTCACCCCTCGCCATGTCCGCCAGGCTCCCGGCCACCAGGCTGTCGTAGACGAGTCCGCAGATGCGTTCCCGCATGCCGGCGTGCTCCTCAGGGTGGGCAGCCAGGTGGACCATCATCTGGGCAAAGGTGTAGCCGCCGATGGAGAAGGCGTGGATGAGGAGCGGGTGGCCCCCCAAGGGTCCCCCTTCCCTGAGCAGCCCCAGGACCTGGGCAGCATAGTCCAGGCCCCACCGGGGCCACAGGAAATGCCCCACGCTGCTCTCGGCCACCAGCACCGGCCAGCCGCGCGACAGGTAGAGGGAGAGGTACTTGGCCAGGGCATGGTCCGGAGCCCCAAACCAGGGCAGCAGAAGGACCAGAGGGCTGGAGCTGCAGGAGACTCCGGGGGGACGGTAGAGGCGGATAGTGCGGGAGACCCTCGTCACAGATGCCCCGGGGGACGAGAAGGCGGCTGGTAAGGGATCGGGGCCAAGGGGCGACTTCTCCTCCTCCGTGGGCGCTGGGGTGGCTTCATGGCGGCAGGGCAGCACCTCTGGGGGTCCCACTTTCGATTCAGCGGGGGGCATCCTGGATGAAGACCCGGCCCACGTCTGTCTTGGGATGAGCAGCCCTGGAAAAGAGGCAAGAAAGGGAGACAGAGATGGGTGCTATTTGTGGGAGACCTTTCCCTAAATCCCCATGGAGGGCCTACCTACACCTTGCCCCCTCCCCATCTCCAGGATTGAGGTTGCAATATTGCGGGCCCCCCCAGTCCCACTAGATCAGGCTCCTGGGGGTCTCCCACATTCCAAACTGGAGCACCTAAGGGGCATGAGAGAGATTTTTACTTTTTAAAAGAGGCAACTGTTTGATCCAATATTGTCTTTACCTTGTGTATGTTTGCGAAGGGAGCAATATTTTTCTTTTCAAAAAGCAGATTTTCCTCAAAAATAATTTTGGTCAAGGAGAAGTGGGTGTTAGTGGTTGAAGGGGGGCTCAAAAATAGCCTTGCAGGACATGTGCAACCCAGGGGCCACCCATTCTCAGTGTGCATGCATGAATTCAAAGATATAGCCATGTTAGTCTGGAAAATCATATGCAAAGGATCTTGCAGCACCTTTGAGACTCACTGAAAGAAAGAAGTTGGCAGCATGAGTTTTCATAGACCTGAGCCTACTTCCTCAGATGCATTTGTGCATGTGTGTGTTTGTGTGCACCTAAATCCCAGAAAGAGATTCAAGTCCCCATGCTGCTAGGGCTGGATTAACTGTTAAGCAAAATAAGCATGTGTTTCGGGCATCAAGGGACGAGGCACCACAAAACAGCAATGCACAAAACAACAACTGTGCAACAAGGCAAGCTGGATGCCTGGTCTCTACCAAGTACAGAAGCAGATGTGTTACGTAAGAATAGTTTTGAGGACCCGATCAAAGACTTTGCAATTAGAAAAAACAGGAGAGAGAAAACTTTTCAAATAGAAATAGCATGGAAGTATACAAAAATAAACTTTATCTTTCATCTTACTGCAGGTTTTGGATCGTTTCCATTTTTATTATTGTTGATATTTTGAATTAGAGATCTATGGGGGCCCCCAAAATCTTTCAAGAGCTTGGGGCATCTAAAGGTCTTATTCCACCTCTGCATGCTCTTCGGACGGGGAAGGGGAGAGGGGTCAGCCCAGAGCCCCACATCCCCTCATTCCCACAACCCACAGCGATTGTGCTGCAGAGGGGTGGGATATAAATTAATAATAATAACAACAACAACAACAACAACAACTATTATTACAACAAGGCAGGGGCTGATGCTTTGTGTACAGAGACCCCTCGCCTCCCTGATCTGTCCCAAAATGACCCACCTGGCTTGGGACAAAGCTTTCTCAATGCACCCAGGAAGACAGGCTGCAACAAGAGCACTTTCACAAGCATCTCTGGTGCACCATCCCGGCCACACAAGTCTCACAACAGCCCTGCAAGGTAGGAAGATGGCATAAGAACCTTGCTGGAGGACACCATCATCATCATCATCATCATCATCATCATCATCATCATCATCATCATGTTGTTGTTGTTGTTGTTGGAGGGAGGGGAACAGGAAACCCAAAAGTAGGTTGCCTCTTCTTGCAGCAGCTTGTTCTAGCCCATCTGCTTCCCCCCCCCCCTCCGTATGGAGTTGCAGGGGGCGTGAAGCTCCATGTGTGGGTTTGAATCTGGGCTGCACTAGAGTATTATTCCCCAGCAAAATGAGGGCCTGGTAGGTGTTTTTGCTGTCTGTGTGTGTGTGAGAGAGAGAGGACTACAAATCCCAGGATTCCTTTGACTGAGTTATGACAGCTAAATTGCAATCAAACTGCTATAATGGTGTGGTGTGCTGATAGCCAGCATGGTGTAGTGGTCTGAGTGCTGGACTACAAATCTGGAGACCAGAGTTCAAGTCGAAGCTCAGCCACTGAACCCCACTGAGTGAGACCTTGGGCAAGAAGTCACACTCTCTCAGCCTCAGAGGATGGACATGGCAAACCCTCCTCTCTGAAGAAACCTTGCCAAGAAAACCCCACGAAAGGTCTGCCTTGGTTGAAGGCACACAGCAGCAGCAGCAGCAACAGCAGCGCATGCATCCTACCTTGACCACAAGTGGAGCAATTGAAAGGCCTAGCCATGTCAGTCTGGAAAGCCAGTCTGCAAAGGGATCCTGTATCACCTTTGAGGCTTACCGAGAGAAAGAAAGAAAGTGGGAGCACTGGAGCAAATTCCTCCCCTTTTACAAGCATTCAGGCATTTGTCCCAGCTAGAGTAGACCCACTGAATCTATGGG